CATTGTATGAAATTCGTAAAAGTTCAATAGAAAAAGATATTAAATGATTTTTTAAGTCAAACTGGGGAAAAAAAAAAAGCCCCCAGGTCATCTGGCTTTTGGATTTGAGCATTTAAACTTTTTATTTTAACCAGGAAAGTAGTAGGGAACAGGCAGTACACAAACAAAAACTACAGATACACAGGAGTTCTGTCTCAATTTCAGCGGTAATCAAAGTACACATCAAAACGACGACACTATTTTGTGGTGAAATTAGAAAAGATTCTGAAACATAATGCTCATGAGTACGGGCCGTGCAGAAGGAGGACAGAGAACCCCACAGATCACTCAAGTCGTATTCAAGTGGCTTTTCTGAAAAGTATTGTGGCAGTTCTCAAACAGGCCTCTGGGAGAATACTGTACCTCTGGCCAGGAATTCCCATCCTACAAATCTAATTTGAGAAGATAATTAGAGGGAATGAGAAAGGTTCATGTGTAGAGATGTTCCTGCCCTGCTATAGGAAAAATAGGAAATTAGAAGCACCTGATAAAGGCAGACAGGTTGGGTGAATTGTTTAATCTTCATAATGAGCAGTTAGGCAGCCATTATAGATAAATTGCATAACAAAAGACACCATAAACACAATGAGGTGACACACCCCAGGGAAGACACAGGTAAGGCATAGAACCACCCAAAGAAAAGTGTAAACAAAAAAATGTACAAAAAAAGGCAAACAACTGAAGATCAAAAAGCCCAAGAATGGAAGTAATCCGAGGAAGAGGGCAAGCAGCAAGCTAATGAAAGGTCCTTATCAGAATGGCAGGTCTGAAGACAGAGTCTAAAGATTCACCTGTTGGTGATGGGTGTGGTGGTGACTGTGGCTATTTTGGCAAGCTCTGTGGCCATGCTTATGTGAAAGAAAGTTCCCAGAAAGAACTACCTCCTGAGCTGAATTTCTTACAAGGCTGATAACTGATTAACACTTCAGTGGAGAGCTTGGAATGTTGCAGATCCAGAGTGTATACACAAATTACTGGGGACGTCTTTAACCATAAATAGCCATGCCTTTCTTACCTCTGTTTCTGAATTAACATTCTCATGACTAGTAAAATTTATTAACTTAGCAGACCACCAAGCCCCACACATCAAGAAGCTAAGAATCAGATAGCATCTGAGACCTATAGCAACCCTCCCCCTTTGCCATGATTCTACTGAATGTATCTACCAATGTATTTGAAAAGTGTCTTGATTTATGACTTTTCTTTGTTCTGTTACTATAAAAACTAATGACCCAGGATCGATTCCCAGCACCCACATGGCGGCTATGAACCGTCCTTAACTCCAGTTCCAGGGGAATCCAAAACCCTCTTCTGACCTCTGGGGCATTGCACAACATGGGTGCACTCACATACATACAGGCAATACACTCGTACACATAAAAATAATAAATAAAATATTTTTTAAAAAAATATAATGCAACTGTTACCACACTGGAACACGGAATTTGGAATAACCTAAATCTGTGTTCCCAGGCCATGGTCACTCATATTTGGCTCCAGAATGAACTCTCTCTTATCTCCTTTGAGGTGAGAGTTATGCTTTTGCATAAACACTCTTTTTACCAGGAAACACATTCAAAGATGTTCACTGTAGTGCTGTTTATGATAGCAGCTGCATTAGTATTGTAGCATATCATACATGACACTGTACAGTTCTTATCATACATGACATTGTACAGTTCTGTGGCAACAGTGATTGCAAAGAACTGTCCACCCCAAGGAGATGAATGAGTGCAACAGGATTTTATATAACGAGACACTATTAATAAGCTAGCTCTAAGTATCGACTCAGATGAATTTCCAAAGCAATGTCAAGTGTAAAGAACAGGTCATATTTGAATGGTAGGATTTTTGGAAATCTTTTAAACTAAAACTGTTACGTAGTGTTGAAGGACACACACATATAAATACACAAACATAAGTGATACCCATCAATTTCAAAACTGGTTACTTCATGCCTTTTAAAAAGGTGCAGTTGAAGTAAATACGATAACTCTAAACTTGTGTTAGGATATCTTGTTATTTTTGAAAACTTCAAGCAGTTTTCTTTAGGGAGAGGGTGGTGACACAAAGTCTCATTCTGTAGCCTAGACTAGCCTGGAATTCACCATCCTCCTGCTTCTGCCTCTGGGAAGCTGGAATTATAGGCATAAGTGAGCGAAGAGCCAGGGAGAAAAGCCAGGGTTGGGACATACGCATCTGTGGAGCGGTGGCACTAGGAAACACCGACCTGGGCAGAGGCAACAGTGAGGTAGGGCCAGGAGCATGTCGCTGAGAGTCACCAGCTTTGTTTTCTTTCTGTGTGAACTGGGGTTTATGGTGATGTCTGTGCCCTCTCCTCCACAGATGGTGTGTGTTGCTCCTGGGGCTGGAATGAACACGGCATGTGTGGGGATGGCACGGAAGCCAACGTCTGGGCTCCAAAGCCAGTGCAGGCTCTGTGGTCACCATCAAGACTCCTTGTGGGCTGTGGGGCCGGTCATTCCATGGCCCTCTGTCAGCTGCCGACACACCCTGAGCAGGGCCGGGATCCCAAAGTCACCTCCCCATTTCTACATGCCACAGAGGACACTGAACCTCAGGAGGCCATGGACAAAGAGAAACTGGAAACAGACACAATCAGCAGCTCCAACGCCAAGCCAGTCTGACAGGTCCAGAAATGGGGGACTGTGACAGAACCTTTAGTAAAGTGGCTTTTCCCACCCAAAGTTGCCCCAGAGAATCATCTGTTGAGTGGTGAGGTTGACTCAAGAGGGGCCGCTTGCCCAGTGCTCGGGCTCAAGGAAGAGGACACCCTTTCTACTCAGTGGATGCGAATGAGAGGTTAGATCCTCCCAAAGGACACAGAGAGCTAAAGCACCAGTCTGGAGGCCCCATCCAGCTTCAGGCCCACAGTTGTATTTTAGTCCAGCTACCTTAAGTCAGAAGACAGAGGTGCTAGGCCTTGCTTAGAGCAGTACGTCCCTCCCCGTTGGGTCCAGAGTTCATAGTTTGCCTGTTCAAGGGTACGAAAGCACACTTCCTGGAAACTCAGGAGGGAAGGCACCCACATCTTTATAACCAGCGCCCGAGGAGAAGTCTTGAAGTTGGGGGGAGAAGAATGGGGATGAATAAGTAGAGAAAAAGACAGAACTTCTGAGAAGACCCAGCAGGGGTGACTCGTAGGACAGAGGGGTCTGTCTCAAACTCTCCGAGGACATATATCTTCCTCTAACCAGGCAGGGCTCTGAGGCCACTTGTGTGACTATAGTGGCCAAGCTGTGTGAGTTGAGGTCTGTGATGGCTAGGCTCTAGAAGTTAAAGAACTCAAGGGCACCAAAGTGGGGTGGGGGTTTCATCCTCTCTCTAGCCTAGTGGCCTTCAAACTATGTTCTTCAACGCTGGACATGGTGGTGCGTGCATTAAATCCAAGCACTTGAGAGGGAGAAGCAGGCAGTGTCTGTGAGTCCGAGGCCAGACAGGTTTACGTAGGGAATTCCAGGCCAGCCATGGCTGCATAGTGAGATGCCCACCACATTCTTCAGAGCCTCAAGTGCCTCTTTGCAGACTGTGGTAAAGGGGCCAGGCCGACAGAGGGCTGGCTTGCCCACCTCCAGCTTATTCTAAGCAGCTTGGGTTTTATCTTATTATATATTAGGTTCCACATAATATTATATTTTATTAGTATCCTGGAGAACGTGTGGTAACAGCTGTTCTTACTCAACATTCTCATTTCTCTTGATGGGGAAATGGAGGCCTAAAGAGGGGACTGGGCCATCTCAAGGCCATACACCTCACTCCTGGTCCAGGATCCCGATGGAAGTGAACCAAGCAGAGCCCAGAGCTAGATGACGGCAGGATAGGAAGGAGCTGTGTGACTAGAAGTGGGATCAGCACAGAGCATACAGATGAGCCCAGTCCTAAACGCTCCAGTTCTAAACACAGATAACCTGCAGCCACAAGCTGACCTTTAACTCAAGTGGGTGGAGTCCTGCTCCCAGCATGCCTTGCCAGCATGGCCCCCACCTCCCAGACCCACAGAGGCCAACTGTAGCCACTGCACCCTGAGCTGCTCTTGCCAGAGTGACCAAGCCCACAGAGATGGAGCAACCACGGGGCCCAGGAGTGAGCCATGGTGGGGCAAGTCCAAGGTTACTGCCCTGTAGGCTGAGTGATTGGCGTTAACCAGGCCAGAAAGCAGCCTCATGTGACCCACACACCAACCCATCTTGTCCACAGGGACACAGGGCAGGGCACCACCCACCTCTTTCAGTACCTGCCAGAAGAAGTCAAAACCCCACGTCCTGTGTTCTGAATGCCACCGCCTCTCCTGTGGCTTCCTTCTATGCATGAGAGAGAAGGATAGCCGGGCTCCTTCCCAGCCTTGAAGAGGATCAAAATATCCAGTGGTCCTAAGCCCTTTGACCTAGAAGCTCAGACTCTTACAACTGAGTCAGATATTTCTGGAAGCAGGCAGGACTCGGGTGCTCCATACATGCAGGAATGAATGGATCTCCACGGACCACCCTCTTGCCTCCATTTTGCCCTTCTGGACAGTGATATGGACAGAAGGCCCTTCTCCCAGGCACTTGCCTAGCTGGCTCCGATGAGTGTCTGAAAGCACTTATCAGGGATAAGGGGAGGTGTCGCCTAGATTTTTTTTTTCCTGCAGCCTTTAGTGGCTATTGGTCACCCTCAGATGTGGTAGGGCTTTTCCTAGTAGTCCACGAGGCCTTTGAAAGCGTGGAGCCAGTTCTTAGTCATTTCTAAGAGCCCCATCACCAAGCCAAATGTGAATGAATGATCTCATCAATACACCCCCAAGGGTTACCGTGGAGTAGAGAGGTTAACTGAGTGAGCCCTGAGATCCTCATCCTCACCTGCCCTCCATTTTATTGTTTACAGTGTTGGAGAACCAGGCCCGTGGGGCTCACAGGCATTTGACAGTCTAAAAATTTTATTTTCCTGATCGACCAAGTAAATTTGCTTTCATATCCCTCCCCTGTGAGGGAAGAGAGGACCATCTCCCTGTTCTGTGCTGTGTGCTCCCAGGTCTTTGGTCTGCCCGTGGAGGGACAGTGTGCGGCACATGTTGCCACCTCTGCTTCCCACACTGTCTCCTCCTGGCCACAGGTACCCATCTTCCCCTGACACACCCATCACCCTTGACCCTGGTGGGTTGAGAGGGTTACCAAAACAGCTTTGGATGACGTAGTGCTTAGGAACAGTGAATCCAGGCCTGTGACTTGGACACAGGATTCTGTGACCTACAGGTGAGGTGACTTAGTAGTCATTTGCAGTTACCCATGAGAGTTAGGGGGAAAGGGTGCTGGTGTCAGAAGGGTAAGTATGATGGCTACCAGGTCAGGACTTCCTACTGATTGGAACACAGAGGTTGGCTGGAGGGGAGGAGAGGCAGGGAGGCTGGCGATGACTTGGCAAGCCGGCTGACCAAGGTAAAGGGTGTTTGGGCAAAAGGGAGATTAGCTAGCTACAGATCAGGGGAGACTTGGGATAGGCTGTGAAGTAGCCTCTTCTGTCACACCTATGGCACTCTACAAAAGAGGGCAAGAGATCAAGTCTGATGGTCAGAACCCATAACTACCCATCCATTCTACCTCCAAGGACCAGCCCCAGGAAGTCCTCAGTTCTCAAGACAGCTGAGCCTGAGTTCTGGATTCAGACCACTTGGGTTACAGTTATGCCCTCACTTCACTGGCTGTGGTGCTCGGACTGGTCACTTCACCTCTCTGCACCTTGTGACCCTGCCTATAGCATGAGGCAACTGGACTATCCTGGGCTGTCATTAGATGTTTGTAAGAGGCCCCCACATAGTAGATCCTCAGTTTATGTTAATCCTCTCCTCCTTAGCTGTTGTGTCCCTGAAAACCCATATTCCAGATGGCTTTGTGTTACTCAGCAAAGGCTCATCTGTACTAGGAGATCCCTGGGTAGTGTGAACACCGGTCTCTGGCAACAGCCAAGTTTGCTGGGCTTGTATATCCAGAGACAGGAGAACAGTGGTTAACACCCCTTAGTTATGGGATGCCTGGGCAGAGGCTTCACCAACCCTAGCCCCTTGGCTCTTGCACCCCATAGGATACCAGGATGTTGAGGCAAATGCTTAGAGGGGTGAGGAACTGATAAGTGAAGCTTTGGCACCCACCCTCATCCTCCCACCCAGCATGGAGTCACTGGCTCAGGCTGTGCTGGGTCAGAGGAGGACTGATGCTCCTGTGCTGGTACCCTCAGCAGCTTGCTGCCTTCTCTGGCCTCATTTTCTCATCTGTAAGATGCTCAGAGGTTGACTGCATAGCCTTTGAGGCCTCCACCAGAACATTCTGGAGTCACCAGTGGAGGGAGAAAGGACCAGATCCTCCTCTCCATCCCACACCCAAACTGGCAAATCCAGATCCTCAGAGAGAACTTCACTCCTTCCAGGCTGAGAGAGGGGTGTTCAATGAGGTGGTCTCTAGAACAGACCCTCCAGGGGTCCTGGCTAGAGCACCCAGACCTGACACACCCAGTGATATCCCAAGGAGAGAGGTGAGCACAGTCTGCACAGGGCAGCTAGAGGCTCTGACTTGGTCACATGCGAAGATTCACTAACATGGATGGCATGAGTCACAGAAAAGTGCCCGTGTCAGGTGCACCTGTCGAGGATGTACAAGTCCAGTCAGATGTCATGTCTTTGTAAACCCTAAACTCCATGGATGTGTCTAAAGAGTTGCTTTCCTCTATAACCCAACAGGCTCTGCAGCCCCACCCTGCAAGAGACAGCTTCTTCCTCGGGGCCCAGCAAGGCTGTGGCTTAGATGACTGCAGTAGTAGCCGGGGCCCATGCTTGGCCTAGCCACAGCAGACCAGAGGCCCAGAACAGAATGGAGACAGCGCCTGAAGGCAATAAAAACCCAACTCCGTGCTTTGTCTCAAAAGTCAGCTTTTTATTGCCAGGGCCCGGCCCGGGAGGGGAGGCCGTTGCGCTGAAGCATCGTTGCTCTCTTTCCAGGAAATGCTGCAGTGAGCGCTTGAGATGTTGCATTTTTTTTCAACTCAAGCATGTGTTTTTCAAAAATATCATCCTCCCCCCCGACACACACTAATTTTAGAATCAGATCAAAGCCAAGCTACTGTCCTCTGTTTCTGTTGGGAAAATACTATATTTATTCAAGATGCAGAAGCGTGTCTCTGCAAACCTCCGATTGCTTCAGGAAAACAAATCTGCTTTAGACTAGACAGAAACCATGATACAAAATTTATTTCATGCTCGAATCTCTTTGCATAACATTGGGCATGCAGTTTTTACTCTGAAGTACTAAATTGTGTACAATGCCAAGTTGTGCCTTAGTAGAGGTGGAGGGGAGGCACCCCTCCTGTGGTCCTGAACTTGAGGTGCTCTACATCCTGGTTTTAAAATGACATTGGAAAATCCATACGGTGCTGATTATGAACAATTTGTTATGAAACTTGGTCACACTGGATCTACACACCGATAAGATGAGAGAATCAACCTAAACTAGCTGCTGCCGGGGGTTCTTGGGGAGGCATCCGCTGGGTCACAAGCATGCCAGGCAGAGACGGAAGAAGGCAGCAGTACGAGTTTCCACAATCCTATTTGGAGCAAAGTTCTCAGTTTCCGCATGAGAGATGAGCTATGAAGGCGAGGTCAATATGACCGATGACTGACCAACTGCCCTTTTTGAAACCTTTCCTCTGGATCTTGTATACAAAAAGGGAAGCAATCCATTCCCTGGCCCCATCCTTCCTCCCCCCTGCCCCACTCCCAGAAGTATACAGGTTTCTACCGAGTGCCATTACAGTTTGGCTCCAACCACGTGTGTAAAAGTTAAGAGGTCTGAAAGAAAATGAAGGACTTTTGCTTTTTCCTTCTGTTCTTCGTGGTGGTCAGGGTAATCAATCATACAGTTGCAGGGGGGTTGGTAGGTTTGGATTAGCTGGGTTTTCTGTTTAACTTCATGCAAGTCATGCTAAAGATCCCCTCCACCCCCCTCCCCAAATAAAAGATAACTTTTAAAAAAATGAGAAGAAGGAAGAGCAATCCTCTACGGTCAGTTACCATTGGCCGTAGATAAAACTACGTCCGTCCTAGAACAATGCCTGGGCCACTCGGACTCGTCCGGCAAACCTGCATGGCGTGAATTTACTCTGTCCGAGGGTGAGGAGGGGTTGCAGGTCCACCCAGATGCTTAATAGCCACCAGTGTCCTCGGCCAAGCCGCCTGGTCAAGTCACTCTCACAGCCTCTGTCGGCATATACTTAGCAATGACAGGGCTTTCTTTGCAAAGATCTGTATGTAGAGAATACAATTAACACTTGAGCTTCTCTCCTCACCTTCCCCATCCCGCTCGGTACTTAGTTGTTAAGGAAGGAGGAGGAAAGACAGAACAGCCACATGCAGAGGCAGGCAGGCTCTTCTCCAGATGGCTTGTTTCTCATGCAGCGAGCCAGCCTAGCACAGCCTCTTCCTCTTCCCTCCTGGGGGTACACGTGGGGGTTCCTACTTCTACTCTGCACCTGCAGGCCTTAGGGGCTCCAAGTCAGCCTGAGAAGAGCAAGTTCTTGTTGCTATCAGGAGCTGCTGAGAGCTCTTGATCCATGACTGGGCCTTGCGCGGACATGCTCCTGATCCGTGACTGGGCCTTGCGTGGACATGAGTGGGCATTCTCCCAAAAATTCCAGCACCCAAGCCCACGTAGGTCCTGAGACTGGGAGCCCTGGGCTGGATGGTGATTGCACCAAACTCCCTAGCACTACTGGGAGATAGGGCTGCTTCTGTCCTACTTTCCCTGGCCTTCTGGAAGCACAGTAGAGTAGGCCACACCAAACGATCCAGCATTCAAGACAGAGGAGTCAGGCAGCCCTTGGGACCTTACTGGGCCAGGCACAGCCATGGGGACACTTTCCCCTTACTCTCCAGGGTGGCCCCTGCTCCCAGGCATTCTAGAGGCTTCACCTGGGGAAAAGCCAGTTGCAAATGGATCAGCAGACCCATCCATACCAAGGATGAGGCCCTCCCCAAGGCTGGCAGCCCTCCACCATGCAGCACCATGCGGGGAGTTAGTACACCTCGCACTGAGGTCCAGTGGACCTCAGGCAGGGCAAATAAGCAGAGAGCAGCCTAAATCAGGACACAACTAAGCACACATGACCCAAAGAACTTTCCCACATCTCCGTTGAAGCCGCCTTGCTTCTAAGTCTGCCTTTGATTTTTGAAGTTTGTCCTTTTCCCTGTGTCTGGTTTAACCACTTCCAATACTAAGGCAATTGACAAGGGCCACAGGCCACGCCAGTTGTCGCTCTCAAGATTCTACTTCTTGTCTGGCCCAGCTTGCTTCCCATCAGCATGCATCCATTCACGCATGGGAGGTGCTCTGAAACATGCACGAGCTGCCCAGCCAACCTGCTGCACTGACAAGGGCTTAGGCTGGTGCCTGAAGCCCTGTGCTAAGTGTTCTGGGCCCTGCCCCAGGCCTTGCCCCAGCCCATGCTCAAGCTCCCGTGTAGAAGCATCTCTTCAATGCTGACTGCAAGAACACCACTGGGCTCGGCCCTCACCAGCCACAAGGGGCACTGACCACCCCAGGGCAGTGACAACAACAGGCTCTGGCCATGGAAGGGAAAGTCCTGTTTATATACCTTCTCTTGGCAAGGTCTCTGTCTGCCACTCTCAGTATTCTGCCTGGCACATACCATACTTCTGTGAGGACAGTTGGCCTTATCCCCAAGCCCTGAAGTCACCTCTGTCTGATGCCTCCCCTTCCATTGGCCCACACAGTCTCTTTAAAGGATACCTCTTCCACAGCACAACCTTAGACTAAGCTCACTAGGCCCAGCTCAACTCACTGCCCTCCTCAACCAAAGGCAAGGAGAGAACTCTTTGCTTTTTGGACCTGTCTTGTCCCACTGACACAGTCTGAGGGAGCTGACTTGCCTCCCTGGGCCCCCCTTGCCTTGGGGTCATACCCCATAACCAGCCTGTGCCAAGCCCCTTTCTACCATTTACCTGGCCATCAACCCATGGCTTCCTGGGCCTCAGCTTCTCTCTGCCAGCCTGACATCCCACTGGATAGGAAAGGACTCCGACCTCCAGGGCCAACCCTGGGGGACGCCTTCCATCCTCTTCCCCCCTCGTGTACCTGCCTGCCCTTCAGCGCCCCTTGCCCACCGCCCTGCCCGCCCATCTGCAGGAGCGCAAGGCGGCCCGGCGATGCACAGAGCTCCAACTTCCTCTACATACCCTTTCTCACTCCACCAGGTGGGCACGCGTATTCCCCAGTTGATAAGAGGAAGCAGGGTCCGTATCTCTCGCGGGTGCCCGAGCGGGTAAAGGGCAGGCCCTCATCGGGAGTGAGGGCCTGGTCTATGTGGGGGCAGTCTTCGTTCGCCAGCGCGGCCTTCGCCACCTCCCCATTCAGTTTGGAATCTTCAAACATATAAGCAGAAGCTATTGAGACACCGAAAACTGTTTAGTGGGGGGGGACAAGCCAGAGAATGGGCATTTGACACAGGGCTTCCGGTTCCTGAGGATGGAAAAGTGGATGAACCATGGAGAAGGGGTGGGGGCTAGTAGGGGGTTCAGCTCATTCAGACAGCATGGCTGCCCACAGTGTAGGGAAAGAGGCTCCTGGGTTTGCTCAAAGTTTGCAAAAAGATGAGTTGATGATGGGCCTGGCATGTGGTGCTGGGAGCCAGGCCCAGGACCCGAGGCAGGGCCAATGACACAGAATGGTATGATGCATTCATGGGGAGAGACCAGACACAGAGCTGAGGGAGAAGACAGACAGACACTCAGAAGGACTCCAGTCCAGAGAGGTGGTCTTTCAGACACCTCTGCTGCTGACCAGAGCCTGGCTGCCTCCAGGTGACATCAGCCAGTGGTTCAGCTGCCCTAGGCCCAGCCAGACCCCATCTGATCTCCTCTGTTCCTTCCCATGCAGGTCCCATTCCATCATTTGTTCCTGTTCCTCAATCCCTATAACTGATTACTCAGCTTGCCCCCACCACTCCATGTAGACCCAACCTGGCCATTCAGATGCCCCAGGACTGGGCACACCTTCTGCTCTGTCCCCACAAAGACCAAATCTGGTATGTCTATGACTTTGTCTCATACAGACTAGGCCTGATCATACCTTCTATTCTGTACCCATAGGAACATAGTCTAGTCGCTCTGACTCCCCATTCCCTGTTCAGATTATGCATGGGCACACATTTCATGCTGTCCCCTGCAATTTGACCACATTGTCCCCCACAGAGACTAGACCTAGCCACACTTCTTGTCTATCCTACCCAATCTGGTCCCTCTGACACTGTCCCCTATATAGACTAAGCCTGATCGCACCTTCTATACTGTTCCCACAGGGATATAATCAGGTCCCTCTGAAACTCTGTCCCCCACACAAACTAGTCTTGGTCACATTTTCTAAGCTGCTCCTAAAAGCACACAATCAGGTCCCTCTGAAACTGTCCCACACAAAGATGAGGGCTGGTCACAACTTCCACACTATCTCCATAAGGACTCTACCTGGTCCTCCAGGTTCCCTATCACTTGTACAGACTAGGTCTGGTCACACATTTCATTGTTCCCATAGGATCCCAATCTGATTGATCTGCCCCACCATCCATGCAGACTAGGCCTGGGCACAGTTTCCCCTGTGCTCCCACAGACCCAATTAGACCACTCCACCTGCATCTGCTCTGTCCCCATGCAGACCCACACCGCCACCCACCCACATCAAGCAGTGTCTCCCTGAACCACTCCAGGGGGCCTGGTCAGCTTTCACAAGGATGTATGCATATGCATGAGGCTGTGATGGCTGGACAGGGATGTGGGGAGGGACTCCCATTCCTGTCCCTTCTGCTAGCATCCCGGGCAAAGCAGAGCAAATGGATGTGTAGAAGACAGCAGCAACTGATGGCCTTGGGTGGGGAAAGCTCGAGTCTTGGCTTCTGTAGTAGCCTGATAAGGAACCTGGGAGGAGGCCGGGGGGTGGGGCAGGTATGGTGGGGGGACCAAATGTGGCCAGAGCCATGTTCCCTGGCTCTCCCTACTCCCAAGACAAAGCCTTGGAGCTTTTCTGGCAGACGTGGCTCTGACTGACTTTGCCACCCACCTCTGTCACCCTGGGGGACTGAGCTTGCCCCTCACTCTCTGCCCTCAGAGCAGAATCTTCCTGGGCAGGATGAAGCCCACCCAATGCTGCCACTAGAGTAGGGGCCTTGGGCAAAAGCCCTGTGGTGAGAGAAGGAAACCAACATGGTGACCATGTTAGGGGAGGCTCTCTGAAAGCAAGCTAGGGAAAAGTCCCGCTCTGACCTTCTCCCATGATCTTGTTCACATCATGTAACTACACACAGGAGTGATCCTTCCCTACTTGCACACGCTCAGTGTGCACAGGAGAAGGATCTCCACCTGTGTACATTATCATGTCACTACAAAGAGGCAGTCAGTCAAAAGAGAAATGGACCAATCAGATTTATTCGTAAAGCAAATCCAAAAAAAAAATTCCCATCATAATTTTGGAACTTAAAAAAAGTCTGTTGTACAAGATGGCAAAGCATTTCACATACGGTGTGTTCCTTGAAGATCCCAGGGCCTCTGCTCCTGATTGACTCCAAAGCAGAAAGGCCAGTGACTGGGGAAACTCTGACACCATGTGATGGACCAGGGACTGCCTAGCATGTGGGGCATACATATGTGCCCACAGACATGCAAGTCCTGCCTTGCATTCCAGCTGGTCCTCATCTCCCTCCCGGAGGATCTCTGACTGAGAGGAGGGTGCTGGGAGATGGGGGAGGCGGTAAGGTGCTGAAGGAGGGGAAGGGAATGGAAGCTGGGGTCCATGTGCCCTGCATGACTTTTCCTCCAGGCGGGTCCCCTCCAGGTGAAGAGAGACTTGCTCTTTTTTGGTGGGTGTCATTGGCCTGCTGTTCTTGTCCAAAGGAGGGGTCAAGTAGTGACTGCCCCTCTCTGCCTCTGCCTTCCAGGAGACAGTACAGCCTGTGATCCCTCCTCTGGTGCTGAGGGCAGAATCACCACCCACAGGCTCTGCCCAGAAGCTCCCTGCCCCTGGGTCTCCCCTCTGGAACTGTAAAGGACATAAAGGTGGAGTGGTCTTTCTGGGGGGCCAGGGGCAAGGAGCAGACACCTGGGATCTTGGAGGGCAGGATTGGGGGTGGGGGTTTCCAGGATGTCTGCGGCCCACTTCCTTTCTCAACATTGACCTTTGAGGAAAGGTCTGTGACTGGGTGGCTGATGGTTTATCTGCAGTTTGAAGCTGCTCTCAGGAACTTGGGTCATTCACTTCCTGTCTCCAATTCCATCTCCCATCCAGTGGGGATGACCAGAAGAGAGAGAGAAAAAAAACAAAGGGGCCAACTTTCTACATTCGGGGAGACATAAGAAAGGCAACAGATGAAAGATCCCAGAGTCCCCACCTGCCTGCTCTCCTGGGATGTAAGGCAGCTTAGAACCTAGGTTCCCACTTGCGTTTAGAGGGCTGAGCCCACCTCCTCTGGCCTAGGGCCCCAGGCCACCACTAACCCAACAGGCTTGTGATGATGAAATGGCAGCACGGGCAGCATCTCAGAGATGGTTTCCAGGCTTTGAAATGGATTGAGATGGGAGTCTGCGAGAGGGTCATTTTTTTTAAACTTTGGAGCAAGGAGAGCGAACACGATGAACGGGCCCCTCTGTCAGTCAGCAGGCTGGCTTTCCTGCCATCTCCAGACACTCCGATGTACTTACTGTTCATACCAGCAGCGGGCGCCACCGGGCGCACGCAGGGCTGGACTGGGGTTAGTTGACTGCGCATTCCCTTCAGTTTACCTCTGAGGGGTCTGCCCAGCTGGGGACTCAGGGGAAAACATCCTGCGCTAAAGGGGGACAGGCTGTGAGAGACAACAGTCATGGGAACCAGCACAATCATGCAACAAAACGAGAGACGGGGAGAGAGAGAGAGAGAGAGAGAGAGAGAGAGAGAGAGAGGATTAGTGGAGAGGGAGAGAGAGAATGTGAACAACACGGAGAACACCCAGGCCTGGCCCTCACAGGTAGCTGATTTCTCCAACTGCTTCATTCACGCAGGCAGCTAGGACTCCACCACTCAGGGTCCAGGCTGCCAGCCCTACCATTGGGTTCTAGTACATTCTGCAGCCTTGCATCCTGCCCCATCAATTCTGTCCCCAATCACACTATTCTCCCTACCCCACTGGCACCACTTGTAGCCACAGCAGCCCAGCGGAGGACATCTGGAGGGCCCAGGGATGAGAGACTTTGGATTCTGCTACTCAAGGGAGAAACCCCTCTTCCCAAGACCACCCTGAGGCTTCTTGGCAGCTCCTAGGAGGCCCAGATGGGGGCTCCTCTGGGCCCTCACTGCTGCTCTGTGTGCCCACAGAAGGGAGCCAAGCCACCCCACCTACATTCCTCTTTATCATTGACCCTGGGACCCTGTAGCCCTGGACCCCATGCCACGAGGGACTGACCCGCATCACAGGAGCAGAGATGGATAAGACACGAGAATGGACACAGCACGACAGAGGGAACTTGGAGCAGCCCAGAGCAGGTGGTTAGCCCACTGTGGATGAGGCGGAAGCCCCCTCCAGGAGGAAGGCAGCTTCTCTTGGCCATCAACCCCAGGGAGTTCCTGCCTCTGCCATCTGGTCTCACACCCAAGTGAGACCTAGACCCTTGACAGCCCATCAAGACCAGACCCCCAAAGACTGAGGCCATTCAAGCCCCAAAGAGGAGATCACAACATTCTTGGGACAGACACACAGACTGGTTTCCACACAGAATGGTTTCAGCAGTGACCAAGAGGTGGAGGGAGTAGGACCGGGAGAGTCACTTGCACAGCTGGGAAATCTGGCCTCAGTGCAGGGCCCAGCATCCTAGCTCAGTCCTTAACTCAGGTTTTAGTAGAACTAGAGATACCCCTAGCTTGGGAATCTGTTTAACAGCCTCTGCTGAAGGACCTTGGGAGACCGCAATGTTGTCTCCCACATTCCCATGGGGTCTGGTCTCTACCTACCACATCTGCCTTTCTAGCCTCTGGCTTTTCCCTCATTTTCTTACAGACTCACCTCTGCCCCATGTCCGTCCAGGCACATAACTGAGCAGAAAAGGAGTTGAATGGGAAGGGAACCAGTGGTGTAGGCATGAGTGAAGATATCTCCTAGAAAACCTGGGCCCCTTGGACTCACACTCCAGCACTTGGGGTGAGCCGTGTTCTAGTGAGGGATGAGGCTCAGGGTGAGACTCAGTCTTAGAGCCCAGAGGGTGGTCTGAAAATCAGGACCACACCAACATGGCAATCAAAGGAGAAGGGAACAGAACAGGTGGAGGAGGGGAGAGGGAGGACACTCAGGTTCCAGACAGCAAGTCATAAGACTGCCCAAACCAGACTCTCTGGGTCCTTGAGACTTAAAGCCAGGGCAAGTTGTCTCACTGGGGCAGAGGTGCCAAGGCTGGGTGGGGCTGGGGAACCCAGGGTAAATCCCAGAGGGATACACAGGCTCTGTAGGCCTGATGCAAGATGGAAGGAGGGTTGATGTCCCTGGGACTAGCTAGGTGTGTGTGTGTGTGTGTGTGTGTGTGTGTGTGTGTGTGTGTGTGTGTGTGTGTGCGCGCGCGCGCGCGCGCACACGCACACGCGCGCGCATGCATGCATCTGGGCACTGAGAAAAACCTGTGCCTGGAGTAAGTTGGGGAGCATCAATAGGCTGACTTGGGACTCCATGCTGGGAACACCAATCCTGAAAGACAGTGTTGGGGAAGATGAGTCAGAAGGGTTGAGTAGGGTCACGTGATGTCCATCGGGCTGAGTATTTCCTCCTGGGGCCTACAGTGGAGCTCAGGGAGAGGGCAGGCTATCCCACACTTTCCCCCGGAACTGGGGGAACTGTCCTTGCCCGGGTGATGGCTCTTGAGGTGAAATCACTAGCTAACCCCAAACAAAAGGGTGGGCCTGGGGCTTCCCATAGATAGAGATACGGCTTGACTGGGGGCCTCTCCCCACCTCAGACCTGGTCACTCCTTGCCCAACCCTAGAACACAAGCTACGTTCTGCTTAGATACCTACAGGAATCCCAGGAAGGGGAGGGCACGGAATGTCCTGAAGGTAAGAAATGGACCTTGGGACACTGATCAGGCTGGTCCGCTGTGGAATGAAGGGGTTGGGATAGGGAGGTGGGTCAGACAGCACACCAGCAGAGAACATCTATCATCCACAGAGGGAGGCCACCCAAGCCAAAGGGAGACTTCCTCACCTGGAGTTGGGCAAGCCTGCAGGCCCCTGCCAGACACAAGCACGAGGCATCCTTTATAGACTAAATAGATCCAAGCTTGCATCAACCTCATGCTCACCCAGTACTACTTAGCTTAGTGTTGTCATTCTTCTCTGGGTCATCTGTTCCTTGGAGATCCCTGTGTCCTCAGAGTAAGTCAATGGGATTCCATGGGTAGAGGTAGACTGTGGGTTTTCATCTTCGGACCAGAGCCCCATGATCAACTTTATGTGCTATGTGCAAGATCTCATAAAACTGAGATAGTCCCATAACAAACCACTAGCCATGGAATATGAGAATATATCCCACAGTGACTAGTATTGTTTCATGGCCCCCTCCCTGCTCCCTGGCCCCCAGTGACCTCGTGGGTAAGTGGTTGGGATGTCTTGTATCGCTGCTGCACTCCCTACTGCCAGACATAGAGACAACTCTCAGCAGTGGGAGGTTGTTGTTGGTCTGTATACGCTCATCTAGGCTGCCCAGGGTGTGGCCCCTCTAGTCCTCCGCTCACCAGCCACTTCCATCAGAAGGTCACCAGAAACTCCCACTGGACCATCAACCCAACAGACAACGTGAAAGCCAGAGTCACTCCAACAGGTTCCTAAAGATAAATGCTAAACTCTAGGGTGGTGGTAGAGGATGAGTTGGTTTGGCATGCTGCAGGGAAGTAAGCTTTTCACGGAAGGCTAGGGGCAACTCCTAGGAAGGACCTGGAGCTAGGCAGCCAGCATCATGGCTACCTTCTGCTCAGCTGTGGAGACAGGCTGTGCTAGGGCTGAGAATCCTGGCTACTGCCTTTGCAGACACCCTGATGCCTGGATCCCATGCATCACTACTGCCCTCACAGCCCAAAGGGAGCCATGTTAAAGACCAAAGGCTGACTGGAGACTCCGAATCACACCCATTCCCTCCCTGCCCAACACTGGGTCAGTCGCCTGAGTCAAGAGACTTAGACATGACTCCTTCCCATGACTCAGTAGCCTCTGGGCTCCTGCTAAGAGTCCTCAGCAACCTGGCGCTGTTGGTTTGGTCTCTTTAGAACTTGAAGAGACCAACCACGTCAACCTCCTTACCCAGGGCACCAGTGAGGTTCCACTAGCAAGCTCTGAATTTGGCCACCCAGCATCTCCCTGGGCCCCCAGGCTCCACACCTCAAGATTGAGAGCAGGGACCAGGGTTGCCCCACAGAACTAAGGAAGCAGTCTGACTGAATCTGGAATCATCGCTACAGGGTGCAGAGGTGAAAGGTCAGATCGACATGCCTCTAAGAGGTTTCCTACCTGCTCTGTTAATTTCTAAAATTTCTTCCTGGGCCAGCGGACATGTGTCACTCTGAGTACTGTGGTGTGGAGAGTTTACGACAGATTTACAATAATTGGGAGATCCCAGCTGCGGTGGCCGAGGAATATGCTTCTTTTTTTTCTTTGGTAGTTTCTGCTTAGCCATGGCTAAGGAGTAGTACATCCCGAAATTGTTCACGATGACAGGCACGGGCATGGCGATGGTCAACACACCTGCCAGCGCACACAGTGCTCCCACCAACATACCGGACCACGTCTGCGGGTACATGTCTCCATAGCCCAGTGTCGTCATGGTGACCACAGCCCACCAGAAGCCAATGGGGATGTTCTTAAAGTGCGTGTGCTCGCTGGCGCTGGGGTCGTTGGGCTGGGCCCCTATCCTCTCGGCGTAGTAGATCATGGTGGCAAAGATGAGCACGCCCAGGGCCAGGAAGATGATAAGCAGCAGGAACTCATTGGTGCTGGCACGGAGTGTGTGGCCCAGGACCCGCAGGCCCACAAAGTGGCGGGTCAGCTTGAAGATGCGCAGGATCCGCACGAAGCGCACGACCCTCAGGAAGCCCAGGACATCCTTGGCAGCCTTAGAGGACAGGCCGCTGAGGCCCACCTCCAGGTAGAAGGGGAGGATGGCCACGAAGTCAATGATGTTGAGTGAGTTCTTGATAAACTCCACCTTGTTGGGGCAGAAGACAACACGCATGAGGAACTCGAAGGTAAACCAGACCACACAGACACCCTCTATGTAGGTGAGGAAGGCCTCAGTCTCCGCTTCGCGGTAGTAGCGCACTTGCGTGCCATTCCGAACATTCTCGATCTCTGTCTTGTTCACGATTGGGTTGAAGCGCTCGTGGGTCTCCAAGCAGAAGGTGGTGATGGAGACCAGGATGAAGAAGAGGGAGGCAAAGGCCACATACTGTGGACAAGAAACAGGGTGTCAGAGAACAGGCCTCCCGCTCAGAGTGGAGAAACCTGGGATGCCTTGCATTGGGTCCAGGCACAGGGCCACACCAGGGAAGGACACTGCACAGGGTCCCTCAACACAACCTGGGCTGATGCACATTTCCCCTCTCAGGGCCTGTGGGATAAGTGCCGTCAGGCCTGGCTAGCAAAGTTCTTATTCCTGTTTACAGCTGCCTCCGTTCCCACTGCCAGCCAAACCTGTGTGGCCCAGGGTCCAGCAGAGGCACGAGAGCAAAGGAGCCTAGCTACACAAGAACCAGCTTACTGGGGCTGAAGTGTGCAAAGAAATACAAGGCAGCTGATCAGTGGAATCAGGCCTTCCCTCAGAGGCCACATCAAACATTTTTTTCCTTTGACTCCAATCTGTTTACTCAAGGATTCCTCTCCCCCCTCCCCACCGCCCAACAACAGCAGGAAACCAAGAGCCTCCAGTAATTGCCTTAGTTAGGGTCGGCATTGGAGCCCCTCCTCCTTCCCAGGGAGCTGTCCTGGGAGTCCCAGAACTGCAGTTGGGTTACTCAAGACTTTGGGGCCTGACAAGGGACCGGGAAACCAAGTACTAAGTGGATCTTCAAACTATGTCCAGGTGCAGGCTGCAGGGGGAAGGGGGGGTAGGAAGGACACTCAGCATTTAGAATGACAGCAATCTTAGGGGATAATAGCACGTTACAGGTGGGAAGCCTGAGGCCCATAGACAGAGAACCTGTCTAAGCTACTCATTACAGTGCACTGGTACCCTGGTGGTTTTGTAGAATGCAGTGTTCAGAATTCTTCTCCTAGGCTACCATCAAATGTGATCCATTTCTACCCTTCCATCTACCATTCCCTCCTTTCCATTCATCCATCATCCTTCCACGCTCCTTCCCGCTCATCCATTTATCCCTCCTTTCTTCCATTCAAATGGTTTCCCTCCTTCCTCCTTTTGTTCCTTCTTCCCTTCCTCACTGCTTTCTTTTACCCATTGACCTCCCTCCCTCCCTCCCTCCCTCCCTCCCTTTTTCTTCTTCCCACCTGTGCTGGTGAAACTGAGAAATAAGGTATTTGAACACTTGGCCTCCAGGTGGTGGCGCTGTTTGGAACCTTTAGGAGGTCGGCCTTGTTGGAGGAAGTGCAGCACTTGCGGTAGGCTTTGAGAGGTCAGAGCCTCATCTCACTTTGACTTTGCTCTCTCTCTCTGCTTCCTGTTTCCAGTTGAAGTGAACTCTAAGCTTTTGGCCCCTGCCACGGTGCCTGCCACTGGCTGCCAGGTCTTCCCACCATGGTGGACTCTTACCCTCTAGAACTGTAAGTCAAAATAAACTCTTCTCTAAGTCATTTTTGGTCATGGTGTTTTGTCATAGCTATAGAAAAGTAAGTAACACACTACCCATGTACCCACTTACCATCCTTCAGTTCACCCATCCGTCCTTTTTCCCACCACTCTTCAGCAGGCACCAGCATAGAGCTAAGGCTTCTGTCCAGCCCACAGCCAAGGAGGAGGGTGCATACAGAGAGCAGCGCAAGGCAGTGGACTGAAATAAAAAGCCCCCTTCACCCTATGAAGCATGTGGGGCTGGGGAAAGCTGGAAGGGATGTGTGTACTCTTGAGCGAACAAGGGCAGGGAAGAGGGCATCTGACTCTAGGAAGTTCTTCTTTCAGAGTCCAGCTCATTCTGACCAGGGACACATGGGGGGCAACCAGGAAAGTGAAGGGGGGGCACAGAATAGGCTGTGGCCTTCAGTCCCAGCTCACCCAGCGCCAGAGCCCTTCCCAAGTCACCAAGCTCTTGAAGCTCAGAAGTGCATCCCCGGTACTGGAGAGATGGCTCAGTGGTTAAGAGCACTAACTGATCTTGCAGAGGACCTGGGTTCAAGTCCCAACACCCACATGGTGGCTAACAACCGTCCATAACTCCAGCACTAGGGGATCCGGTGCCCTCTTCTTGATCACAGGGATTGCAAGCCACGGGTGCACTTACACACATGCAGGCAATACAATCATACACATAAAATATTTTTTTAAAAGTGCATCCCCATCTGCTGTATATCTGGCCCCAGGCCCTCTTTAGGGCCTCTTCTTAGAGTTTGGCATTAACACAACAGATTGCCTAAGGACAGGTCATGGCCTCACCAGTGACCCCTGTCACTGCCTTTTCATGAATGGATAGGAACATGCAACATGTGAGTGTCTGAGGGAAGCCCAGAGGCAGGGCCCACTGCACCACGGGCTCCTGATCCTGACCAATGATAAAGGCAGAGATGCCTCTTCCCCTGGCTGGATCCTCAGCAGGATGCCCTCGTAGACCACCCCCCAGCCCCGTGTTCTCTATCAACAAGGCCACTGCTATGAAAGCCAGTTTGAGGCTTCAGTCTCAGCCACACAGCTACCAGAGGGAATCCCAGAGCTGCCCATGCCAGCTACCACATTGCCTAAAAGCCCAGAGTCCTCAGCCTGGCACACCAGGATCTCCTTGCCCTGTCTGCACTTGACTTCTCAGTGCCCTCTCTGTACATGTACACAACATTCTTGACACATGTACCTCTCTGCTGCTCTGACCAGAGTTTCTCCCCATCCTTGTGATTTTGCACTTGGGATGCCTTCTAGAGATCTGCCTTGCATGCTGTCATGGAAAATCCCCTGAATCCTCAGTGCCCGGTTAACAGCCCTTCCCCTGGGGTGAGGCTCCCACTGGCAGCTGTGGTCCTTGGGAGGCAGTTTGCCAAGGGACTCCTGAAGGAGTCTCTGCATCCACCCAGGGAGGCTGTGAATATGTCTCCAGTGATGGCTCTTTAGTGCTTACAGAGGCTCATGGGAATAGCCCAGACAGGGCACTGATCTCCCAGAAGTCCCACAGGCCCTCAGAGCTCTCATCTCATTTGTCCTCTCATAACATGGATCTTGATGAGGACACTGAGGTCCAGGAAGAGGCCAGGTCTTATAAAGATTAGGCTAGAAGGGCTGGGGAGATGGCACAGTTGGTAAAGTGCTGGCCACTCAAGAATGAGTCCTGGAGTTTGATTCCTAGAAACCACATTTTTTAAAAAAAAATGTCAAGTATGGTGGCATGTACTTATAATTCCAGAGCTGTGGAGCAGAGACAGGTGGTTCCCTTGAACTCACTGGACAGCCAGTCTAGCTGAATCTGTGACCTCTAGGCTGAGAGACCTTGTCTCCAAAAAAAAAGGTAGAAGCTGGGTGTGGTGATAAAAGCCTTTAATCCTAACACTTGGGAGGCAGAACATGTGGCTCTCTGTGAATTCAAGGCCAGCCAGGGCTGCATAGTGAGACCCTTTCTCAAAAATAAATAAATTAGGGGCTGGAGAGATGGCTCAGAGGTTAAGATCACTGACTGCTCTTGCAGAGGACCCGGGTTTGATTCCCAGTACCCACATGGTGGCTTTGAACCGTCCTTAACTCCAGTTCCAGGGGACTCCAAAGCCCTCTTCTGACCTCTGCGGCATTACACAACATGGGTGCACTCACATACATGCAGGCAATACGCTCATACACATAAAATAAAAATAATAAATAAAAAAAATAAAGTGGCAAACAACTGAAGAAGACAGCAGAGGTTCACCGTTGGCCTACAGCACATGCACACATGTGCGGTGCGCGCACACACACACACAGTGTGGAAAATCCCATGGTTATCAAGGTTAAATACACAACCTCAGCGCCACCGCACAAGAGGTGGCAGGTAGAGAATAGACAGCAGAAACCAAGACAGAGCCAGACAGGAAGACTCCATCCAGAGCCAGGAGGGAACCTGCTAGGCTCCCTGGATACCTACCTTCCCATCCTCTGATGCACAAGGTCAAGTTACTGTCACAGGCAGGGCCTTAGAGACATGTGGGTCCAATGTGAACCTTTTCAAGGCTGTGCAGGAAGGTACCCCTCACTTCCTGAAACACCCCAATATTCTACTAAGGTCGGAGGCTAATAGGATGGCAGCCAAGGGTCCAACTGAAGTCAGAATAGCCACGTCCCAGCTCCCTCTGCCCAGCTCCAGGGCTGGAAGGAGAGAAGAAAAACTACCAAAGTTCAAGGACCTACTATGTACACCACCCTTGTGCGGCAGGTGGCCATATCCCTATGGTGTCCCAAAGGAAAGCCAGGGACAAAAAGGTTCAGGGATGAAGCCAAGGTTTCAAAGAAAGTGATGAAGCTGGTCTAGGGACCAAGTTTACCCTGCTCAAGACTCAGCTGTCTTACCACCAAGCTGCCTGAGCCTTGCCCACTGGGCAGCCAGCCCTGGATCAAATCTGGATGGCTCCAGCTGCGTATGGCACCTGCTTCCCAGACTCCCTTAGAGCAGGCCATGCTGTCTCCCATAACTGATATAGGGCAGAGGCAACTAGACCCAACTAGATGGGAGGCTGGCCACATCTGAGTTGATTCTAGGCCTCACATCCGAGTTGATTCTAGGCCTCGAAGCCCAGGACTTGGTAGCATCTGGGGCAGGTGCAGCCCCTTGGGAGGGATTGATGAATAGCCCTGAGTGGGCCAACATGCATTCCCCATAGGCTGCCTACTTGCTGGGTCCCTGGGAGAGAAGACCTCACAGTATTCAAAGAGCTCAGCCAAAGGGAAGGGGCTGGGCATGTGGATGGGGTTCCTGGGGTTAGTGGCCTCTGACAGGGAGACAAGCTCTGCCTGGTAGGCTCAGGATAGCAAGCCCCAGGGCAATTCTGGGTTTGTCACTCACAGGGAAAGGGGAGGGGGCTATGTCCCACATGAACTGTGTGCCTCCCAATCCCATCACCCACAGACCATAGACTTCAGAGTACACACTTAACCTATGTCCTATGCTCAGACATCGAGTACATGACCACTGTGCCTGGATCATGAGGACCCCATTGAGACCTCACTAAGGCACCTCGCCTTACATTTACACCAACCAGAGACACTGGGGTGGTCTGTACACACACAGTTCATGCATACACACCCAGAGCAGCACAAGGATGGAGCAGTGG